CTACAAAAACATGTATTATTATTGCTTCTACTTAACAATAAAGGTAAAAATAATAATAAAGCTTACCTTAATTAATGTTTTGTGCTGGAAGGAAAGGACTTGAGAGAATAGAGGTTTCAAGGTTATACCAAATTATGTTTATATACATATAAAGGTTTATCAAATAAAACATGGGTTTGTGGTTATACTGGGAAGCATTTAAAATGGAATTAAACTAATGTATCTACTTCAACAGAGGCTGGCTTGGAAACAACATAATGTAATTCTTAAAACCAAACCTCTTTCTAAGAAAAGCTATACTATAGGATTAGAGGTGTGATAGCAGAGAAAAAATAGGCACTATGCAACTACATCCAAGCAGGGCACCTAAAGAAGGTAGATAGAATTTTATAGAAAAACTATTGGGATAAACTTTGCTTCTGCAAATGGATTTATGTACTTTTTGCTCTTTATGGCCACGCAAATGTATTCTGGACAGTTTAATTAGTTACTTTTGTTATCCTTAAACTGACAGAAATATAGGAGCCAAATTGAGCTTCAAAAATGGCTTCATACATGAATCATCCATTCTGCAAACATTTTTTGAGTTTCTATTATGAGCCAAATACTGTATTAGGGTTGGAAATAAAACATTGAAAAAAGACAAGTTCTTTGCTCTCAATGGAGATTGCATTCTAGTGGAGAAAGCAGAAACAAATACATAACAAGAACATATAAAAGATACTATCAGAGAATGATAATCATGATGATGTTAAGTGCCTTCAGGTAATGTCCAGTGGCATCCTCAGTAAAGCTGAGATCACATGCTTTGGGGCCAAGTACATCTGTGTTCAAGGCCCAGTTCCTCCACTTACACTCATCAAGGGAAATTCCATAACTTTCTTGGGACTTAATATTATCACCTTAAAACAGAGATATTAATATTTGTCACAGAAAATTTCTGTATTAAAAACACAAATTCAATATGTTTGCAACATATTTTAGATGAATAAGAAACATTAGATTAATTACTTCAGGTGTCTAAAACCAGTTCTTTCCATTCTGTTTAGCTTTATATGCCTTTTCATGTTGTGGACTATAATAGGTAATATATATATTTTTGAAATATATTAAGAATGATAATTCTG